AGGGCACATAGGACTCCTTGTCCGTCAAGAGGTTGTGCACTTTGGTCTCGTAATCCTCTTTATCCATAACGACATTCGAACGTCCTTTGTCTGCGGGCAACGTGACAATATCCTTCATTTTTTTGTATTTTCAGAAGTTCACGCTCTGAAGAGTAAGCAGCACGCTCTGATGATGAGAACGAGCATGTTTTCGAGACGTCAGCAAGAATACAATTTGGTCCCAGCACTTGCCCTCCCTTCTTCTTCCTCTTCCGGGGATGATGAGCACGATATTATATCTGGTACTTCTTATGCCTGTTTCGAAGACCCCAAAGTTTAGGACACTGTAAGGCACGCATTTTAATGCACCGAAGGCAGAGAAGATGAGTACAGAAGAACGGTTCAGATCTCCGTAAGCTCTAATTGTCCTGCACTGGCCTGTAAATGCAGATGGGCCTCACAAACACCCATTTTCGAATGAAACTATTTAGTTTATTATTCGTTACTGTTTATATATTGTTCCATGTGTTAATCGCCGTAAAAGTAGGTCAGGCCTGTTTAAATCGAGTGATATTGTTTACGCTCCTGTTTGGACAGTAACTTAGTCACGGACATGAGTGGACCAATAGAGGAATTCGAAATTGCGTAGGCGACCGCCGTTTAAGCCTATCCATGAGAAAAATGCTACTACGAATTTGAGATTACCGTGGCTAAAGTACGTCGCCATCTACATATTTACATAGGTCTTTTTTCAACTGAAAATCCAAGAGACTAAACGTATTTTCAATTCATATTGAGCTACGTGGACCCGGTTAGTCTCGTAAAACATCTTTTGAAGTCAGCAAGTGAGCAATCAGACACTGTTTATATGAAAACTATGATGAACAAGTAAGGTTAACAATAAATTATGAAGGTGGTGAGAGGAGAATGTCTAAACATTAAGTAATATGGGCAGATGTTCGTTTGCGTGAGAGAAAGAAAGAGAGTGAAGTACGCACCTGCTTCCATGGCTCCGCTAAAACCAGAGAGACAAGTTCCTTCCTCCATGCTCACACAGGCATCTATTGGAGTGTACTGCATGGAGACACCTGTGTAAAGTGCACAGGTTCCCGTTCCCATGTTCTGCATGCCGATGCCGGGTAGGGAGTTGTTGGACATTGAGGGAGTGTAGAGATAACGCGGGTCGCAGCCCAACTGAAGGCCATCGTCTCCGCTACTAGTGGCTGCAACCAATCCACCAATCCATAAGGAAACTAAAATAAAAAAATTAACGAGTCGATTATTATTCACATACATTGCTCGAAGTAAAAAACCATGGATGTCAGGGAACGCATTTAGTCGTCACATAGAAACCTCAGATGGAACTAAGGAAGCATATTTTTAAGTCGCCCGCACAAGATGACCAGCTGGAACCGATGAGCATGTACACAAGGTAATTAAGTTCTTTATAAAAAGTCGTCTTATATTTAAACGCCTTCAGTTCTCTTTTAGATTTCTCGTAAAAGGGCATTCTGACTAGGTGGCTTACTATTTTCCAAAGTCCTCACTAAGGAATGTTGTAAGTCTTTTGTGCTAAAGAGCGTACCATACGGTGGAATTTGTCGATTTCCAGGTCAAAAATGCATTGAGCTCCTACCGCCTGTGTAGTAATCGTACGATGTGCACTTCCGCGCAAGCCACCCTTATTTTAAATTATATGCCCATTCAAGGGAGGGATGTAACATCTTTAAAGTGCAAAGAAGCAACAGTTCCCGGGGATAGGATATACGACCAGACACAGTGTCCAGAATTTTCCATTAGACCTCCTCCGGTATACATTCCAGTACTACAAACTAAAGTAGAATCAGTCGGCCAACGACACGAAATGATATATGGCCAAAACTCTGTCTGAAGTGTCCCATGACTAAAACAAGCATAAAAGCAGGACTTATTGGTACCAAAATATTTCTCGCATCCCGTGCCTTTACATGCCCCTTCCTATAGTAGCGTACCTTTTTTTCATTTTGCTAACGCGTTTTGTATCCCTTATGTAGTGATTGGACTGTAGGATTGCAAATTAGTTTTCCGAGAAGATTCAATCGATTGTGTATTTCTTGTATCTTATCCATGCAAGAGAACGACAGACAGTAGTTGACAAATTGTTTGAAACTTTTAAGTAAAAATTAGCCTATTTGTTTACGCTGGTTGTGATGTTTTGATTTTTCTTTTAAAATTTTAAAGCCTTCTATGTTCATCTCATTTTATTTTTCTATTTCAGTGCAGATGCGTCGTGATGATGGTTTCTGAATAATTCAAGGTTTTCCGTTTATGTTTACACTAAATGGGGGATTGAGAGGATAACAGAGGTTTATTGCCACACACATATTGGCAGAAAAAAATTTAGCGTTGCTTTTGAATATAACAAGCTGTACTGTTATCACCTAGCGCGTCTGGAAGTCACACAGAACGCCTAGAAAAATCGAGGTTGTAATTGACTATGATAATCCTGATTAAAGGACAACTAAATGGTCCGTGTACACGCAAGGTCTTCCTCGTGCTTCCTACGTTGAGAACATGCAGCGCGTACATTGAACTATTATTGTTGTAGACAGTGCTGTGAAAGACTACTGACGTTTATAAACGGAGTATGGCGTTTACAGCACCCTGCAGTCTATTCAAATAAATGTTTTGGCACTTTGAGTATACAAGTGGTCTTCGATAAGCCTGACTGTACGCTAAAACTTTGATTCAAAGTGACAGAGGAGTTATCAGCGGGCTCTCAGTAGGAAACGCTCAATAAAACCACAATAAGTGCACACGAATGCAACTCGATCTACATGTTCCTATCCAAGAAGGCAAATTTACCCTTTGTGCTGGCAATTCTCTGATACACTGACCAAAGTCTGATTCTACATCAAATGAACTGTGTTTTTCGATTGTCCGACATGATATTGTTTCATCACGGTGTATAGATGTTTTTTATTAAGGCCGATGTCGATTGGGTAGTTAAACAGATCACTTTTGTTAATGCGATTCTGCAGTCAAGAGTCAATTACCGAAACCGAAATCGCGCGTGACATCTGTTTTAACGTCACTCCGCATCATGGAAGTTGCGGTTTCCAGTCTCATGCCAAGTCCATCTGACTGGCACAGAGGGCAATTAACTGGGGAGTAAGGTCAAGCCAATCTGGATCAAGCATCTCCGTTTCTCAATATTAGCAACCAAGAATAGAACGATAATGGAACGGAATGGAATGGCCATTTCTGTCTCATGAGCTGTCATCAGGCAATCATACGTTACCCTAATTTGTGCCCTAACTGAAACTCTACATCTCTAACTGTTCAGCCCCGGTCTCCTTGTCATGCCAGTATATATTGGGAGATATTGACACTCGCAAATTTGAAAAATACCAAGTGAATGGCCTACACTGTTCTCCTCTCCTAAAAGATGGACTACAATTTTTATTTCGTATAAAAGAGCTTGTTTGGTACTCACTAGCATCAATGCAGTTTGTTTCGAGTGGATTTAGGGTCCGCAACTTGCGTATCAGACGAAACGTGGCTATTTGGCTCTGTTAGCCACTATCACCACGTCAATTTCACATCATACTTACGTGGTGTGATGTTGGAGCACGTTGAAAGGACCAGATGTTGCACTGGTATGCTTCGCTTTAAAAGCTCATAAGCATGCCATAAATACATATGTTCCGACACAAGGTTGCACGTCTTCACTTTCGACATTCGAGATGCCGTCTAACTAGAGCGCAGCCTGTGAATTTTATTTGGCGCTTGTAATGAACAGTATCATGTTCGTAAGCTGAGCTTGTTTAATGCAGGGAGAGACCTCACGCAGCTTGGCCGATGGGCCACGTTGCCGAATTTTATTTTTTTCCGCCAAAAATAACATGCGTTTTGCGTTAACTATTTCGTCCATCCTTCTTTACGAGTAAGATTATTAGTAATAAAGCCGGCTTGCCCACCAAATGGAGAAGCCCTACAGGTATTGACGTTATCCCATTTCCCTATCTCTCCCCATGGTTCCACT